AAAATGTGTAACTGTCATAGTAAAAAAGAGAGGAAAAGAAAGTGCTCTAAAGGATATAACTGCGTGTACATTTAAGTGTATAAGATAGATAACCATATTACTGAATTTCTGTTAGATCATTGAACAGAACTGTTTGCAGTCTCACTGTTTGAATGTCCACTTTGTATGCTTTAATTTTGTAACTTGAACAACTATTTCTAAGTTGACAATATGTAATCTATTAACTAGTGATTTCCTACTGTTTATTTTTTTGAAATTCTGTATAACTTGTACCCTTTTTCTGTTTTTTTCTTTTTCTCCTTAAATAAAATGTAAAAAAAAAGAATAGAAGAAAAAATGGAGCAATGCTTTTGTAAATGGGGAGGGGAAAAAAGGTTGAAGGGAGAGGAGAGAAATAGGGAAAAAATCTTTGTATATTTCACTTTTATTTGTTTAAAGAAATCTTTAAATTTCCCTTTGGAGTGATTCATTGATTTATTGGTTATTCAAGAGAATATTTTTAAATTTCTATGTATTTGTATAATTTTTTAAAGTTCTTATTGTCAGATTTTCTAATTTTGATCAGAGAAGATGCATGCTATGATTTTAAATTTTTCGAATTTGCTGAGATATATTTTGTAACCTAAAATATGGTCTATCTTGAAGAATGTTCCAAGTGCATATGAGAAGAATGTGTAATCTCCAACTGTTGGACAAAATTTTATGTATTTTGTCTGCTAGTCTTTGGCCTATGTTATGGTTTAACTCTGTTGTTTCTTTGTTGACTTTTTGTCTGGATGATCTGTCCCTTGGGGAAAGTAGGATGATGAAGTCTCCAATTCTTATTTTATTCAGGTCTGTTTCTCCTTTTAGATCTAAAAATATTTACTTTATATAATTGAGTATTCTTCCTCTGGGTGCACATTTATACAATTATATCCTCTTATTGAATTGATCAGTTTACCATTATATAATGAAATTCTTATCTCTACACTTTTTGGACTTACAGATTATTTTATCTGATTTACTAATATGAAAAACTGAATGAGTCAATAAGATCCAAAATGTGCAATAGATATTGTGAATTGGAAAGAAACTGTGCCAAAGAGAAGATAAACTGTGATGGGAGAAAGGAGAAAGAAAGGAAGGGAAAAGGAAAAAATTATATTTATAAACAAGATAGTTAAGATATACAGCTTGTTTCTTTTTGTCCATTGAAAAGACAGGTTTGTGCTAATATTGTTTGGACAAGATTTCGTGCCTGTATCTTGTACCCTGAATAACTAATGCAAAGATAGCAATATATAATGTATTAATTATTTTTACTCTCTTACTAACCTGTTTTGAAATTCTGTTTTGTTATTTTTATTTTTTCATTAAAATAAAAAGGATTATTTTATCTGATGCAATCATAGTTACTCTCGGTTTCCATTTGCGTGGTGTATGCTTTTCAATTCTTTCATTTTCAGTCTGTGGGTATTTATTGGTAATGTGAGTTATCTGTGGAGAACATGATCACTGGATTTTTTGTTTTAATCCGTTCAGCCAGTCTGTATCTTTCAAATGAGCAACTGAATCAGCTTACATTCAAGGTTATTACTGGTAAGTAAAAGCATGTTCCCTTATTCTGTCATTAATTTTTTTCTAGTTATTTTGTATATCTTCTGTGCTTTTCTTCCTGTCTTATTCATCTTTGTGCTTTGATGGTTTTCTCCATTGACAGAGATCTACTCTGGATCTTTGTGCATTTGTTTTCCTAGTGAGTCGTTTTTTGTTTGTTTGTTTTGTTAGCTTTTACTTTGGGGTGTCTTATGTCAGTAGTTATCATTCTTTCACTTCTGGTGCAGGTCTCCTTTAAGAAATTCTTGTAAGGAAGAGGCAGGCATGGTAGCACTGCCTGTAATCCCAGCACTTAGGTGACTGAGGCAGATGAGGCCAGCCTCACTAGATAGTGAGTTTCTGCTTGGGGAGGGGGGCGGTAATTTCTCATGGGATTAAAATACTGGTGATTAATTATCAGGTTTTTTTTGTCTTTTAAAGACTATTTCTTTTTGAAGAATAGCTTTTCTGTGTTTAATATTGGAGTTGTCTGTCTTTTTTTCTTTCTTTCCTTTTCTTTTTTTTCCTTTCAAGGCTTTGAATTTGTCATTTGTTTTATGGTTCTGCTGAAAAGTCTGATGTTGGTATATTGGAGATTCTCTTATATGAACCCTGAGACATTTCTTTTGTGTTGTTTTTATAAATCTCTGTCTTTTACTTTTTTATTTCAAAAAGCAAAATAGAAAAAAGGATAGAATTTCAAAAAATCAGGAAATTAACACTAGCTAATATATTCATATTGTTATCTTAGAAGTATTCAGGTTACAAGATCTAGGCACAAAAATAATCAATTACAGCACAAACTGATTTTTTTTGATGAACTAAAATACAGATTGTAGCATAGTTATCTACCTTGCATATATATATATGCGTGTATATACATATATATGTATATAAATGTATATATACATACATATATATATATATATATATATATATATATATATATATACATTTATATATGCTTACTAACATACATGTAATATTTTCCTTTCTTCCTTTTCTCCTCTCCCTGTCCAGGTTGTTTTTTTTTCTTTTGAGCACATTCTGTTTCTTTCATTATTAAAATATCTATGGTACATTTTGGACCTTAATACTCTTTCATCTTTTGATAGACTATAGTGGGACTTGAAGAGGAACTTTCTTTGCTTTTGTTCTTTCTTTCTTTCTTTCTTTCTTTCTTTCTTTCTTTCTTTCTTTCTTTCTCTCTCTCTCTCTATCTTCCTCTCTCTCTCTCTCTCTCTCTCTCTCTCTCTCTCTCTCTCTTTCTTTCTTTCTTTCTCTTTCTTACATTAAATGTGCTTGGGGTTCTTTGAGATTCCTGGAACCGGATGCCTTATCTCTCCCAACATTTTGAAATATTTTAAATAATAAATTGAGTAGATTTTCTGTGCCTTTTCTCCTGTCCTTCTCACATGACTATAATGCAAGAAGTTTGCTTGCTTCTACATCACATAACTCTCATAGACTTTCTTTATTCTTGCTATTTTTTCCCCCTGGCTAAATGATTTAGAAAGACTTTCAGGCTCAGAAATTATTTCTTCTGCTTACTCCATTTTTGCTGTTGAAGTTCTCAACTGTATTCTTATGTCATTTATTGAATTTTTAGCTCCAAGATTTCTCATTAGTTTTTTATGATCTCTATTTCTTTCCTCAATTTCTCACTTATGTCATAAATTTTTTTTCTATTTAGTTGAAGAGTCGTTCTGTATTTTTTAAAATCTCATTGCTTCTTTGAAATTATCATTTTGAATTCTTTTTTAAGCAATTCTTCAATTTTCTGTAGCTTGAGAGGCGCTGTGTCCTTTGGAGGCATTATGCTACAGTATTTTTTACTGGCTTCAAGGATGTCTGCATGGGTATTTATGTATCTGATGTATCAATTACATCTACCAATTTTCTAATGTGGCTTTTATAGTACAAAATTTTTCTTCCACTGATGTGCCACAGTGATGTGTTGGTTAGGCTGTGTTGGATTGGTTCCAGGTAGATATTTTAGTTTAGTATTTGTGTAGCTTCTTTGGCTATACTCAATGTTGGTGTAATTTTCAGGACTCTCAGTGCTTAGGCTATAGGAATTGTGATATTGATTGCCACCTAAGATGCAGCACTTGTGGGAAAGATGAATTCACTGGCAGCTTTGAGTGCAATGCTCTGTGAAGTGGGACACATGTTGGCTTCCATAGATGACATAAGGATCCAGGTGGTGCACACCACAGCATACTTAGTAGTGGGATGGGATGTCTGTCAGTGTCTGAGGGCTATGCAGAGGTTAGGTTACACTCATGGGCTCAGACAAAGTACATGTAAGTGTCTCAAAGGTAAGAGCTACTGGGCTGGGGATTTAGCTCAGTGGTGTAAGCACCTGGCAAATGTGAGGTTGTGAGTTTGGTCCCGGGTACCACAAAATAAATAAGTAAAATAAAATTTAAAAGAAAGCTAAGATCTACCAACTTCTCTAATAAAATGTCTCTTGGATAAGTATTTGTGATGTGAACTGAAGTCCCTTTTAACCCTTTCTCCACTAAGGAAGAAAAGCTAACCCACTCTTTTTTCAGGGTTGATTTTGAGAAAGTAAATGTATTCTTATTTTGCTTCTTTGTAAGGTTATTATGTATCTCTGTGCCCTACAATGGCTCTTCCACATGTGCACTTCATTCTAGTACTTTGCCTCAAAAGTGTCAGTGAAGTTTTTTTGTCTTTCTTGTTTTGGGGGGAAGCATGCCATGAACTTCTAATTGTCCATCTTGCAGACATCATTTCTGTAGTAGAAGCATTAGGATAGATTACAGTAAGGTAAGTATATATATCATAATTTTGAAGGTCACCACTAAAAGAAAAAGACAGGGTATAATAAATATTTTCTTAATCACAAAAAATTCAGTAAAGGGGGTGAAAAAGAACAAAGAACATAAGAGAAGTAGAAAGAGAGAGAGAGTGGTAGGCTTAATTTAAAATATATCAGTAATTCAAAAAATTATAAATGGACTAAATTATTCATTTAAAACACCATTGTCAAAATTGTTTAATTTTTGTCAAAAGATTGAACTGTATATGTTGTATATAGTTGTATATGTAAAGTCATAATGACTTTATATGTCTAATGTAAAGACTGAGTGGTTGATGGACTAAAAGGACAAAATAAAAAGACTCTGATAAGTTGAAAGCATAAAAGGACAGGATTACCATATAACCAGTAACAAAAAAGTCAGTGTAGCTAAAGGAAAAATAGATTTTATGATAGGAACATAAGGACCAAAGGAACAATTCAACTGAAAGATATAACAACACTTTTTATTCATATTAGAGCATAGCTTCAAAATACATTAAAACATGAATTCAAAGATTGCTGTATTGTTATTATTTTGTAGGAAACTAGCTACAGACCACTAATGGGATTATGATTTTTGTCTTCATCACAGATTTTCTACAGTCTCTGCTGCCCCACTGGCCAAAACAGATACTTGGCCAAAAGATGTGGGCATCCTTGACCTGGAGGTCTATTTCCCAGCCCAATATGTAGACCAAACGGACCTGGAGAAGTACAACAATGTGGAGGCAGGGAAGTACACAGTGGGCTTGGGTCAGACCCAAATGGGCTTCTGCTCAGTCCAGGAGGACATCAACTCCCTGTGTCTGACAGTGGTGCAACGGCTGATGGAGCGCACACGGCTGCCATGGGACTCTGTGGGCAGGCTGGAAGTGGGCACCGAGACCATCATCGACAAGTCCAAGGCTGTCAAAACAGTGCTCATGGAACTCTTCCAAGATTCAGGCAACACTGACATCGAGGGCATAGATACCACCAATGCCTGCTACGGTGGCACCGCTTCCCTTTTCAATGCTGCCAACTGGATGGAGTCCAGCTACTGGGATGGTACGTTCTGCAAGGAGCATTATGTGAGAAAGAACTCGGGTCTGAGGCTGAATCCTAAAAGTTTTTCTTCTTGCTTTACCAGGGTTTTGCCTTTGTGCATCAGAGGGCTGGTAAAATTATGGAATAAACTAATTCATGGGATGTAAAAGACAGTAAGGTGGCTGTTGATATACTCTGCACTTACTAAGTTCAAATATAAGTACACATATGTAATCCCAGCTACTTAGGAGGTTAAGCAGGAAGGAGGCAACTTTAAAGCCAGTGTGGGCAACTTAGTAAGACTCTGTCTAAAAATAAAATAAAATAAAATAAAAAAGGCTGAGAATGTATCTCAGTGATAGAGTTTTCCTGGGTTCTATCTTCAATACAGGGAAAAGTGGAAGGAACTTAGCACTAAAAACTATGGAAACCATAGTAAACATTAATTATAAAGTTAATCATATTTTAATATTGCCAGGAAGCTTAGAGATTTCCTAATATAATATTATTTTTTTAAAAAAGAGGCCAAAAGAACTGTAACAGATTGTCTCCAGGCACACAGCAAGACAATGAGCTCTGTAAGCTTGTTCATTGTTCTTATACATAGGGAGGTCCCTGATGTGGTGGTTTAGTGTTCAGCCTCTGGGGCCAGATAACCTGGGCTCAGTTGCCTTACATAGCCTTCACTGATAAGTGAATCCTTTAATGTAGGATGTTCCAGTCTCTGTGCCATCACATCTGTCCTTACAGTGCTTCTCCTATTTGGCATTTGTATTATCTTTAGCAACCCCCCACCATTACCATCACCAATTTGTTCAACCTAGTGTTTAGTTAAAGAGTAGAAATGAAGCACAAAGGACATCTAACAGTCTTTACCAGAAAGCCTATTCTTAGGCCACTGTCATCTATTAAGTATGTCGCTGTGAGTAGATTCTGCTGAGTGACTGTGTATTCCCAAAGACAAAACCTATAAATGCATGTTTCTTTAATATGACATGTTTTCTTAGGGTAGATGCTATGTGCTTAGTTTTTAGTATAAAATAAAAACATAAACTATTAAAATGTTTACTTTTAGTATATAAAACAAAACAAATACAAGCTTGAGACTGAACGCTGTAACTGTGGATTAAAAGAAGCCAGTGTGGGTGAGATCTGTGCTTCTGATCTAGCCTGGATATCCATCCAGAGCCCTCAGGTGGAGAGAATCACCGGGGCGCTTTGAATCACCCCAGAGAAGACAGCACAGTACGAGGGAATGAAAGTGTAGGACAGGCTGGGAGTACCCAGGCTTTACTGCCTTAAAAATGAAAATTATTGAAGCTTATAGTTGGGAATAAAAGAATGTGCATACACTAATGGATATAAAGCAAAGAAAAAGTCTCCTTTTCCCATCCTATTACCACTTTTCAGTATTAACACTAAGTTTCCTTGTGTTCCTTCAAAAATTTTCTGTGTACCTTCAAGTGTATACATATCTATTTAGTTTTAAACACTGTACAAATTATTCTTCACCTGTGATCTCTTAGAGGTCATTCTATATTACCATATGTAATACTTCCATCATTCTTTCCTAAAACCCACATAATATTTTATTGGAAGATGTGTCAATCTCCATTTAATTAGTTCCATATTAGTGGATAGTTAGATCATCATATTTTTATAGTTACATATTTTAAGGAACATTTTACAATAGCTTTGCATACTTGTGACAATGTGTTGTAAGGACAGAATTCTAGGATATGTTGATTTCAGTATTTAATAGTATTGCCAAATTTCTCTCCGAAGTGTTGTACTGAGTTGTATTGATACACTAGATATTATCAAGTTTTCTAATGTTTGTCAGTTCAATGAGTAAAATAATAGTATTTTGGTTCTCCTTTCCTTCATTATAAAAAAGCTTGAATTTTTTATGATGTCAGTTGGCCATTTTTCTATCACACAGCTGCCATTTCAGACTTCTAGAAGTGAATGGAAATAGTTTTTTGTTGGCTACAAGTACAATAAATACTTATTAGTTTTTCCTTTGACCTTGTTTCTCATATAATATTTGATTTTTAGATAGTCAAATTTATTGATTTTTTCTAAATGGCTTTAAGTACTTTTCTCAAGTATCTAAGTATTTTAAAAATGTGAATATATATATATATATATATATATATATATATGCACACACAAAAGTATTATTTATCCCACAATTGTCTATACACAAACATTCACACACGTGTGCACACATCAATGGGGATGGGGGAAAGAATAGTTTTTTGTTGTGATTGTTATAATTCCCAAGACAAGTTCCTTGGACTTCATTCGACTTGGATTGGAGTCTTGATTTTGAATCCTATCACTTATTAGGTATGTAGGGTTAGGGCAAGTGACGTAAGTTCTTTGTGACTCAGTTTCTTCATCTGAAAAGAGAGGATAACTATATCAGCTATATAAGCCTATCAGGAGGATTAAATTTAAAAAAAATTTTGCTCCCCACATAGGGCTATGGGTGAATGCTGGGCTTTGTCACAGGCTGATATAATGCATAAATCACCTTTGTTTATCTCCCCAGTTTCAAGTTTTAAAGGTAGTACTTCTATTAATGAGCAAATTAGTCAAAACAGTTATTAATAGTTCATAAGAGCATTAGTTACTATTAATCACCTATATTAAATATGGCTACTGATCATAAACTTTTTCACATTTGAGGTGGTGCTAGGAAATTTGAAGCCCACTTAGAGTCCAGCCAGAAACGGGTTTGAGTCACAAATTCCATATTCACTACATAAGTGATCCTCAGCAAGTTAGTTTTTCAGGAAGTCAGTGGTTTCATCCATGAATGTGGATGTTTACTACCTTATCGCACCTTCCAAGGATAGTCTGAGGACAAGTGGAATCTGGCTCCTATTTTAAATGTTAATTTCCCTCCCTGTTCCTCCATCTCTCTTGGTTTAGAAGATACTCAAAATCATGGCATGCTATAAGGTGTTTGGCAAAAACAAATGCCAGTTAACAATTTTTTACTGAATTCAGAAATTAAGTTCTGAGGAAATGAATTTTGTAACTAGAATGTGAGGATACTTTACATTTCAAGTGCATATGAGTTTCACTAGAGTGTAAATTCTATAGGACTAGGATTATTTGCTTTGTTCACAACTCTACTTTCAGTAACCAAAATTGTGCCTGGCGCCCATCAGGCAGGCAATGATCTCTAGATCTGGTGGTGAAAACAATGATTTTTTGTCTGTCTTTGCAGGTCGCTATGCACTGGTGGTCTGTGGAGACATTGCAGTGTACCCCAATGGCAACGCACGTCCCACAGGTGGCGCTGGAGCTGTGGCCATGCTGATTGGGCCTAACGCCCCTCTAGCCCTGGAGCAAGGTTTGTAGCAAACTATGATCAAGAGGCTGTGCACTGTATAACCAAACACATAGATCTGAACCCCAAACTGCATACTAAACAAACAATAACCAAGACAGACATGGTGGTGCACACCTGTAGTCCCAGCTCTTTGGTGGCTGAGGAAGGCAGATTGCCTCAGGTCCAGGCAAGCCTGGACTACACAATGAGTTCTGGTCTTTTCTGGAATACATACCTAGATCTTGTCTCAAAACCAAACCAACACAACACAACACAACACAACACAACAGCATAGTGTATTCAATCTGGATTTGAGGATACTATCACTTGCCTCCCAAAGTGTGTTCTGTTGAGCAGAGAATAGGTTGGGACGAAGAAAGGGCATCGGCCAAGGTGGCTTATTGGAATAATGGTGCACTCAGTACAGGTGCATTCAGTACAGGTGCAAAACAGAAGCTAAGGGAAGCAAACTGGTGATTGATGCTGAATCTTTCTCTTGAGAGTTTTGGCTTCTGTTCTAGATTTTGCCAAGCCTACATTGATATGGAAAGGGAAATATGAACCTCAATTGTGTAATATTAACAATCTATTCAGCACCTTTCAAATATGTGAGAGGGGAGGAATAGGTTCTGGTTGACGTATAGGAGACAGACAGAAGCCAGAAGTTCTTTACCTGGCTCTCTTAGCCCTTCTGCTGGAGGTGGACTGTATTCTAGAGTCCCTGAAACCCTCCGTGTGCTTTTTCAGGACTTAGGGGCACCCACATGGAGAATGCCTATGACTTCTACAAACCCAATTTGGCTTCAGAGTACCCGTTGGTGGATGGCAAGCTCTCCATCCAGTGTTACTTTCGGGCCTTGGATAAGTGCTATGCATCGTACCGCCGAAAAATCCAGAATCAATGGAAGCAAGGTATATGATTTGGGGGAAAAAGAATGGGGATCTATTTACACGGCCAACAATCTGTACCTAAGAGATGATCTCTTTTCTCCTTCCCTGAAAATGATACCAAGAAAATTGTTCCGTATCCCCTTCTCATGCTCTTCTGATGCTAAAACCCATTTCAATTGCTCAAGTATAAAACTGCCTATATTGTGAGCTCAATCAATCAATCAATCAACAATGCAGGGACAAAACCTGTTGGTGTTCCCACCTGGGGTGATACTGTTTTAAAACAGAGTGACCACATCCTACTGGTGTTGGGATTTGTTTCTGTTTAAATCAGGCAGTTTGATTCTTGTTTTGTCTGACTGATATTGAGTCTTGTGAGTGTTTTCTGAATACCAAAGTATGTAATTTTCTCTGGCTGGTGGTGTTAGAAGTTGATTTTATTTTCACATTTAGCTTCTGAATGCTCCTGCTACAAAATAGGTGCCACTTTCATAATCAGAAAGAAGAAAATAATGTTTTTTTTTAAAATACAGAGAAATGCCTTTTAAAAATATCCCTGCCAGTTTAGCCATCTTGGTCTAGATGAGCATCAGCAGTAGGCAGGTTTTGATTGTGAGAAAAGACATGTTCTGGAACATGCAATCATGGGGTGGAACCATGGGGTACCCCTTTTCAACTACCCTGGGTGAGGCAGGGCCCCATGCTAATAACCCCAGTGGCTAGGGAGGCAGCTCAGACCGAACCACCTCTGCCCATCCACTGTAAAGTTGCTACTGGACAACTGCTCTCACCTCTTCTGAATTCTCAAGACAATTGAAATTTGTTTTTTACTTGGATACAGAGTTTGTGTGAATGTTTCCTTGAGTCACAGCACTAAATTATAAACTTTCCAAGGGCAGAAGTTTCATTACCTTCCTCTTCAGAGTAAGAGGCAGCCTTCAGGCTACAGATAGAGCCTAAATCCAAAGCCAATCTTCTTTAAGTTGAGTGACTTTGAAAATATGACTCAATTTAGTGTTTTAGAGACTCTACTTCCCCTCTGGAAAAATAAGAAAGTGATTCAGCACAAAGTTAATTTGGAGATTGTTTTAAAATCACTTTCTTGTTGTTGAGCCACAGTGGCTAGATGATGGTAAAAGTATGAATGGTGAATAAACAAAACTTACACGTAATTGCTGTAGGTAGGAACGAGCTCACTGACAGGCCTAGGGTCCCTTGACACACTTGAACCTGAGAGGGTAGGGCAGTGTGGCTTATCATCATGCCACCTCCTTCCCTTCATGCTTCCCTTTGCAGATGGCGTTGACCGGCCTTTCACTCTTGATGATATACAGTATATGATCTTTCATACACCCTTTTGCAAGATGGTTCAGAAATCTCTGGGTCGCCTGATGTTCAGTGACTTCCTGTCATCTAGCAGTGACACACGGAACACCTCATACAAAGGGCTGGAGGCCTTCAGGTAAGTTCTCTTTATGGCGAGCCTTGAGGCTCTTGAAGGGTAAACAAGGAAGCAACTTCCTTATACTTTGAGTCTGGACTTGCAGCATCCCTGTGGAGAGCAAATAACCTTCAGTCCAACTGAAGGATGCCAGTCCTGACATGGAGGGATTAGATGGGCTCCACCTGTTTGAGTCTTTCCTTGTGTCCTCCTAGAGGAGCTCGGGAGGGCGTTTACCTGCATTTCTGCATCTTGACTATAAAAAGCAACAGCAAATCATACTATAACTTCATGGTGTACTGAAATAAATTTACCCTATGATCTCTGTACTGAAAGATCTCACAGTGTACACAGACACAGACACACAGAAGCAAATGCAGTACAGGTGTTCACTGGTTCACATTCTCACCTGTGGTTGTCTTAATGTTTTTGTTTGGGGGCCTCAATTTTTCCTATCTGTAAAATGAACATTATGCTACTCATCTCCTGAGATATCAAACATCAAGAAGGCTTCTCTTGGTCCACTGCTCCAAGACATTTAGAAAAGAAGACTGTAGAGCTCTCACTAAGAAGTCTTTTCCTTTCTTCTTGGTATCTGTTTACTTCAAATTTTGGAGTACAAACACCTTCCTCTATCACAAATTACTACTGTTATTAACCCTGACACTAATATATGAAAATTATCACAAATACAGCTATCAAGACACAAAGTATAACTATTTTACTATAGTATAACTATTATAGGCAATATTATAAAATAACTATTGGCTATAGTTTAACTATTATAGTCAATATTTTAGCATGTAAGAGCTTATCAGTAATAATTATATACCCTAGTGGAAAAAGGAACAATGCATACGGGCCTGTAATTTCCTCAAAGAAGAAATGCAGTCTCATTTGGAAATGTACACACTCATTAGTTTTAAAAAGTAAACATGTTACCATTGTCTTTACTTATGTTTCTAAAGTTTAGAATACTTAGAACTGATGAGACTACCGGGAAATGGGCAATAGTGAATGTGTAAATTGCCACAATTGTTTTGAGAAGTAAAAGGAACATGAAGGAAAAGCCTTGAAGATAAGCATGTCTCTTTTTTAATTTTAAAGAGAATAAAACCCAACAAAACAAAACAAAACATGTTAAAGCCAATCCAAACAAAGTGAAAGTAGTACAGAATTTTAAACCAGGATAATAGGAATTCAACAATGGTTATAATAATGTATCCTATTATCTTCACAATAATTGTCCTTCTATCAGACATAGTAAAATCAAATAAAACAAAACAAAATAAAACCAATCAAAACAGAACCTTAAATAAAACAAAACAATAAACTGGAAGAAAAATAAAGCAATGAGAAAAATATTGGATTTCAAAACCATTACAGAAGAAAATTCCTCAAATTTGCTATGTTGCATTCTCCTAGTAAATGCTCAGACAATTGGCCTTAGGCCTACAAAGTCAATCAAACAATACCCACATTTAGTTGTTTTTGTACCTCAGTTGCTGTCAACTCAGCTTTCCTTTGAACCAGTCAGTTGCTTACAGGGTGGGGTGGGATGGGGTGGCGCCAATAGGGGAGTTCTTGATTCTCAGCTCATTTGCTGGTCTGCTCTTGGAAGGGCAATCTGGCTTCTCTCTTCCTGGATCCTGCATGGTTTGCACAGCTTCCCAGAAGGGCAAACCAGCTTCTTGATGCGTTCTTTCCGGATCAGCATGGCTTCTGCCAATTCATGGGAGGGATGAACTCTGAAAGGCATATCTTTTGGCTTATTAATTCCACATGTTTGAAAGAGCACTTGGCTCTTCACTAATATTTTAACTAGTGAGGAACAGAAGCAGAGGCACTGGTTAAAATATGATATGTCTTGTTATGAATCATTTTGCAATCTTTAAAAATAATGTTACAAAGGGTTGGTGATGTTATTTAGTGTAAGCATGAACAATGCCCTAAGTTCAATCCTCAGTGCCAAAAAGCAAAGTAATATTAGTTATTGTTGTTAAACAATGTCACAGATATATAATATATAATATGTATTGTGTATATTATGCATGACTGTTTTCTTCTTTGGAAAATTGAGAAAAATGATACAACACAAAGCTTTAGAGATTTTTCTTTCCCTTGTCTTTCTATGTGTAAATGATAGTCAGAAAATGCACGCAACATGAGTGAATAAATCTTATGAGTGGTTTCTAGGTACATGCATTCAGAGTTAAGAAAGCATGCTAAGCCTAGTGTGGTTCACCCCAGTAATCCCAGCACTTGGGAGGCTGAGGTAGGATTATGAGTTTGAGACTAGCCAGGCTGTATGATGAGCTTCTATTTCAAACAAACACTAGGGAAGACATGTGAAAGAGAATGTCTAGTGTAACTGTATTTCTGATTTTGTAATAGACTGTATGAAAGTAGGGATGAGTTCCACATGGTAAATATGCCTAATATTCTCTCTGTGCATTCTGTATTTTTAAATATTACAGGCCAAATAAATACATAAAAAATGCTCATTATCATTGACCATCAGAGAAAGGCAAGTTAAAACTCCCCTGAGATACCATCTTACTCCAGAAAGAATTGTTATCATAAAAAAGTCTAGTAATAACAAATGCTGGCAAGGATATGAGGGAAAGAGCCTTCTACATTGTTAATGATAATGTAAACTAGTACAACCACTATGAAAATTAGTGTAGAGATTCATCAAAAAAAAATAAAAATAGCAATTCCATTTGATTCAGTTATCTCCCTTCTGGGTAACTTCCCAAAAGAGCTAAAATCACCGTATTATGGAGATACATACATACCCAAGTTTATAGCAACACAATTTACAATAGCTAGGCCTTAGAAACAGTGTATATATTTATCAACAGATTAATGGGCAAGGAAAACATGATATTTATACACAATGAAAGACCACACTGGCGTAAAGATAAACTTGAAGATTTATATGTAAATGGATACAACTTGAGAGCATAATGTTAAGTGAAACAACTCAGACATACAAGCTCAACTGTTGCATGGTTTCTCTTAGATGAAAAATGCAAATAAAGAATAAAATGCAAGAGAGATAAATAGTAAACAGAGAAAAATCCAAATACTCCCCCAACTACAAATTCTATTGATTTAAAAATATTTCAATGTGCTAATTGGTTTTATTTGTTACTTATTTATTTTAGTTTGTTGAAAAGAAAGATTTGTATAATCTGTTTCTTTTGTTGTAATAATTTTTTTGTTTTATGTCTTGTACTCTGAGGATAAAGATATACAGGGTAATAATTAGTGTTATTCTCTTATTATTTGGTTGTGAAATTTTGATTTTTTTTGTAAAATAAATTTTTTTTTTACAAAAACCCAAAATATTATAGGTCAGGCACAGTGGCACACACCTGTAATCCAGCACTTGGGAGGTCAAGGCAGGAGAAATGCTGAGTTCTAAACCGGTCTGAGCTACCTAGTGAGTTCAAGGCCAGTCAGAACTACATAATGAGACCCTGTCTCAAAAAATGAAAAAAATTAAATAAATACTTAAAACACATACTCCAAAGCCTTGTCTTCAGAAACTATTCTTTCTCGCACTTTCTTCCCATCTGGCCACTTCTGGCTGCCTCACAGGAACCTAAAGCTGGAAGATACCTACACCAACAAGGACGTGGATAAAGCCCTTCTGAAAGCCTCCCTGGACACGTTCAACAAGAAGACCAGGGCCTCCCTCTACCTCTCCACGCACAATGGCAACATGTACACCTCATCTCTATATGGCTGTCTGGCCTCGCTTCTGGCACAGTGAGTCTTGCTTCTGGCTTATCTCCTACTCCTCCATCACACTAGTCTGAGAGGCCAGACAAATTTGGTTCCTCTAGTAAGCCACACTTTTAAAAGAAAGAATAAGAGGAGGAAGAGAGGTGGGAGGAAGTAAAGGAAGAAAGAAGGCAGATGAATGGAATTTGTTTCAAAGTGTATGCATAGGCAGATTTACCATCTGGGCTAAACAGTGGTCTCCAAAGCAGTGTGTAGTATGTCGGAGATGTGCAAGATCTACCTGGGGGTAGCACAAAAATAGTTAAACTTGCATGTATATTTTTGTTTCATTTATTTAAAATTGCTACACTTAGTAGAACATGGTGGCTAACAAAGTCTAGCTTACCAGGCACACATCTGCAACCCCAGGGCTTTAGGAAGCTGAGGCAAGAATATTGAAGTTTAAGCCCGGACTGGGCAACTTGGTGAGACCTTGTCTCAAAGTAAAAAATAAAAAAGGACTGAGATGTAGTTAGGTGGGAAAGCCCTGGATTCAATCCTCAGTGCTACCAAAAAGGATGGATAGGAGGAAGGAAGGAAGGAAGGAAGGAAGGAAAGGAGAAAGGGAGAGAAAGAAGGAGGGAGGGAGAAAAAAGAGAAAAAGAAAAAGGTCTAGCTTTACAGTCAACATCTTGGGCTGAAGTCAGTTTACTATTAGCTTTGACCTTGAAAAAGTGCTTAACCTTGGCTGGGTACAAGGTAACATTCCTACAGTCCCAGTAACTTCAGAGGCTGAGACAGGAAAGTATTTCAAGGCCCAGAGCGATCTGTGCAACATCAAGACCCTATCTTAAATAACAAAACAAATAAATGAATAAGCGGGGGGAAAAAAAGTGATCTCTTTGTGCCTCACTTTTCCTCATCTGTAAAATATGTGTAATAACACCTGCTTTCTAAGTATTTATGAAATACTTAGAAATATGAAAACTGTAGTGCTCATCAGGTTAGCTTTTATTTTATTCTGCTTTGTGGCATTTATAAAGAAATAATGCGTGTAATAAAGGGAAAAATACTCATGGATGAATTTGATCAAATTATTACAGGCAGGAGTGGTGACCAAAAGGTTGAAAGATTGTCAGGCAGCCTGGGAGCCTGGGGAACATACCTCCATGTGGGCACAAGTCACTGAATCCATCCCTCCCTCCAGAGTAGAGGACTTCCCTTTATACCCCAAATTCTGTTGGGCTCCTTGTGTGTTATATTATTCTGGACTTTGGCCACCTCCTTTGGGCAAGGTCTCCCATTCCTGGGCTTGGTACCAGGGTCCACCCAAAGCTCCTCTTTGTACAAAGTGCTTGGAGCACATTGCCAATTGCAGGAAGTAGACAGGGACAAGCAGGGTTAACAGGTAGGTGTTTTATTTCCTGTGCAGAATATAGTGCTGATGTGTTTTTGGTTTTGATTTCTTTCCTTACAGTCACTCTGCTCAAGACTTGGCTGGCTCCAGGATTGGTGCCTTCTCCTATGGTTCTGGCTTAGCAGCAAGTTTGTTTTCATTTCGAGTGTCCAAGGATGCTTCTCCTGGTGAGTCTCATCTTTCTATCAGACTCTCCTGACAAGATTCACTGATGCAAAAAATCATCTTCTGCCTTGCCACTGCGGAGGCTGCCATGTTGTAAGGGAAGAGCAAAGAAAATCACTGCAGGGATTAAAGTAGTGATTTGTCTAGCATATGTATTTAAAGCCCATCCTTGGCTATTGCTTAGAGCCTAGCTTAAAGAGGAACAAAGGTGGATATGGGGAAACTATTTAGCTCTAGCCACAAATAGTGTAGGCAAGAGATAAGTGGTTTATTTACACCTGCTTAAAGAGAAATTGATGAAGTTGAGCTACCCAATACATGTTGATTATTTTATGATTGTTGTGATGGGAGACACATTGCTAAGCACTGTATGGGGTACATCTTACTAAATAAGTACCTGCCTCTGTGTTTTCTAACATGGATGTTTGCCCATCATTACTTGGTATTTGAAACCACATGGGGAACACTTCCCCTCTGGGGTATAACCTGTCACAGAAGCTGGTTCCTTGGCAGCACTAGTGATAATGCAGTAAGGAAAGTTTAACAGTCTTGCCTTTCCTTCCAGGGTCCCCACTGGAGAAGCTGGTATCTAGTGTATCAGACCTGCCACAACGTCTGGCCTCCAGGAGGCGTATGTCTCCTGAAGAATTCACAGAAGTAATGAACCAAAGAGAGCAGTTCTACCACAAATGTAAGAAAAAGGGCAGGAAGAGAAGAGAAAAGCAGCAATTCTTTCCATATTCCACACCAGTAGCTAGGAACCAGGGATTCCTCCAAAATCTAGCATGTAGTGCATCAAAATGTTTATGACAAATGTAGGGAAGAAGATCTGCTGTTAGAAGGACCAAGAACGTGGTAAAGGAAGAAGATACAGTTGGAAAAAGGTAGCAGGCAGCATAGAGCTTCCTACTTAGAGCTTCCATTGGCAACACTGTCCATTCCATTGGACAGTCCATTGGACAGTGTTGCCAATGGAAGCTGGAAGTATAGTATTTTGAAAACTCTATCTGTGTAAATGTTGCAAGAACCCAAATGTCAAAAGCTTAAGATCTAAACCTAAATGATGGTGTCACCAAAAATATTAAACTTTTCACCATTATCTCTTTTCTAAAATCATACTAATCCTACAGGATTTCCAAAAAGATTAAATGAATTAATGTACTTAAATAAGTTATCAATGAATATCACTTTCTCCTCTGCATTGCCCCCTTTCTCTGATGAACATAGAAAACAAAATAATTCCAACAAACAGAAAAAATAAAAAAAAAATAAACAAAAACCAAAGTGAGATTTAGAGAGACCAGATGGTTTTCAAACTATGGTGACTATATGGTTTTCAGAGTGGTTTCAAGAGGAGAAAGAATAAATGGAACTGGGAATATTCCAGATGACTTGGACTACTGATCTTATCTGGAAGAGATTTTAGAGCAAAGAAAAATAGTAGGACTAAAGAGTAGGACTTCTGGGGTAAACATTGATGTTTAAAGCATTTCAACACTGCAATAAATCAGAGTCAAAGATGTCAAGATTAAGAAAGAATTATATTAGTAAAAAGGCAGTTCTGAGATGTACCTCAACCCAAGAACACTGGGAAAGGATGTATGAAGAGTTCAATGAGTGAGGGGAATGTTTACTATAGTAAAATGTTACTTCTATAATAAAATTTTTAATAAGTCATGCTTTAAGTGCCAGATCTAAGATGACTGCTTCTTGGCTTCTGCTGGTCTGGCTTCCATCTGGTTCACTGAAGGAGGCCTTGCAGGTCCTGACAGCACCACCACCACCACCAGAGCTTTGCCGTGAATATGTAGGAGTTTCTATTACTATTTTATCCTTCTCAAACTGATGTAACTTTTTGTGAGTGTTATGTTTTTTTTTCCTCACTGCACAGCAAACTTCTCACCACCTGGTGATATAAACAATCTTTTCCCGGGAACTTGGTATCTTGAGCGAGTAGATGAGATGCATCGCCGGAAGTATGCCCGGCGTCCTGTCTAAGAGTGGTGAGTGAGAGCTTAAAGGATTTTTAACTCCCTTGATGGCTTAAATCTCTGATGTCTCTCTCTAGCTAACAGATGCAGTTCTGATTCTATAAGCAGGCCAGAAAGAGTTCAGAGCTTCCAAAATGACTGGATCAGGGTATTTATACATGAGGACAGGGAAAAGGCCTGGGGTTCTCTTCTATGCCTGGAAAGGCAAAAGCTTAAAAGAGTCAGACTTGTTTATCTGATGTGCTCAAGATGGAGGCTCCATTAGAAGCTTGAGGGAGGAGGAAGCAGGCAGTGAAATTGAACCCGCACAACTCATTGCTCCAAAGGGACAGTGATAAAGATGAAGAGCTTCCAAAGAGTCCTACCAGAGTTTTAAGAACAGAGTCAGGATGAGGTGCTTTTAATTCTACCCAGAACTAAGCAGTGGGCTAGTTTAGTAATCACACACCTTTGATCTCACCATGACACACTGTAGATCCAGCCGCCTCTGAAAAAGCACCACCTATGACTGCAGAAGGTTTTGGGGGGATATCTAGACACAAGTCATGTCACTTTCATACAAACTCCCCATGATAAAAATAATAATTTATATGTTGCAAGCATGTACTAATAAAATTAAAAATTAAAAGTTTAAAGAGGCATATACCATTAAAAATGAAAAATAATAAAATCAAGGGAGAATCTCTAAGTCAAGCTTTTTCCCTGACAAAACCATTGCACCTACAGAGAAAACTAGCACTCTTGTACTTTTTCTGACTGTAGTCACAAGAACAGTAAGCCCATAGAAGTGACAATTTAGCTGCTTCAAAAGTATGCCGTGTGTGCAGTGTTCTGTGGGGTTCCATAGGTCCCTGCAGTGCTCCAACCCAGTCTATTGTCCCATCACAGGCAGAAGATAGTGAATGATGTGAACCTTGCCCATTTCCAGCTTCAGTTCCTGAATCATTGGATGCCAGGCCTCACTGGAGTCCAGGCTTGGAGCTGGGAAGGCAGTGGGAATATACCAGACCTTAGATGCACAGTTAAATCTTGGGCAAGGAGCAGGTGCTGGGGTCCTGGTAAGCACAATGAGAACCATAATCTAGTCTTCTGTTTGTTTCTTTCTGTTCTACAGATCCATAAAGCAACTCCTGTGGAAGAGCACTAGCAGAGCCTCTGCCTATGAATCATGTTTAAAATACTGCCCTTGTCTGTTAAATGAATTTGACCTTAGCCATAGATTCCATAAACACTGGCCCTGAATATGATGATTGAAGCTCCTCTGAGGAAAAAAACAAACAACCAACCAACAACAACAACAAAAAACCAACAAAACAGCCACAGCTCTTTTGGAGAAAAATGGTTGAAACTCCTCTGAAGAAAAGCAGTTGCAGTGAAGCTCCTCCAAAGAAGATCAGCTGAAGTCCTTCATGCTTATTCTCCTTTTTATACTGTTCTGATGACAATCTTCTTTAAAGTGGATTTTCCACACCTAGAACCATGCTGACTCAATTGAGCTGGGCGTGCCCATTCACACTGACAATTAATCAGTTGACCCCACAGTCCACCCCTTGTCAAGTTGATAATGAGACAGATTTCCTTAAACTAGTAGACCATCTGGACCATCTATCTACTCTTCCAGTAGATTTATAGAATTAACATATCTTGATCTGTTAAGACTTACATTAATATAACAATTATACAGTTCTTATTGCACTTATTTCACACCAGGAACAAATATTCAAGGGATTCTAAAAATTCAAAATTAAAACCATAATTATTGACTAAGTGGCCTGATTACAAATAGATGACTAAAAACTATGAATGTACATGCTTCATGACTCCCTTATATGTCTGTTACTTTACTCAAAAATCTTAAAAATGCATTTAACACTAACCAATGATTCAAATGCCAAAAAGTAAATAAAAACTATGCCCACAAGTAAAAAATTAATAATTTGACTACAAAGTGTAATATACCATTATAGTGCATTCACATTAAAAATGTGACTTCTCAAGTTTTGAAACATCCATGGCTCTCATTTAAGTACATGGTTTAAAATTTAGTTGTATTGCATAACTTAAGAAATCTGTGTAATAAAGCCTAGGCACTTAATATAACACAGGTTTAATAATACTTAAAAAACATACATATTAACATTATATCATGTTAAAATCATATTAAGGGAGAGCTAAAAAAATCACAATCTTCATTTCTGTAGCTGATCACAGGGCTATTTAGAACTACCTTTCTCTACTACCCATTCTGTATTTCTTCAGCGAGTGCCTTAGCAGGTCTTGGTTCTTTCCCTTGTGGGCCAACTAATAGTCTCATTCCTGAAGGTTCTGGACCATCTATCACTCTGCCTACACTGGGTTGTTGTACTTTGGAAATACCAGAAGGTACCCCAAGGGTTACCCTATACTCTGAGTATATTCCTTTTTTCCTCCATTGTGGAGCAGTAGTCCTGTTTCCCCTTGATAATCTGGGTCCCTTTGATAGCCTGCCAACATTGTGACTCCTTTTTTAGCTTGTTTCCTTGGAGCATTAGGAGACCAAAATGACTAGGGAAGTTATAGCATCTAATTTAATGGCATCATTATTGTAGTTCTGGTACAAACCTTCACCACTCTGGAAGTAAGTATTCTAAACCATCAGAACATAAATTTGCAGGAACCTGAACTAAAAACTTTGCTAGCAGATCACTAAGGGTAATAGTGAGTGGTACAATTTCCACTTCTACCCCTTGATTTCTGGACTGTACTAGATATCTTGGCTATGTGAGATACAGCACAATATAGTTGGTTCTGGTTCAGATGGTATCCAGTCCTCTGAAGAACCTTGTTTCAGCTCTGCAAGCTACTGATACCTAGTTGACTGATACCTATACCTATACCTATAATGATACCTATACCTATAATTGTGTCTTCAAAAGATCATTTCCCCTTTCTTATCAGTCTAGTCACTTCTGGATGGTGAGCTACATGGTAAGACCAGTGAATTCCATGAGCATGAGCCCATTGCCTCACTTTTTTGTCCATAAAGTGTGTTCCTTGGTCACAGACAATATTATTTGGAATTCTATGATAGAGAATAAAGCATTCTGTGAGTCCATGGATGGTTATTTTGGCAGAAACAATACAGAGGGTGCAAATCCATATGCAGAATAGGTGTCTATGCCAGTAAAGACAGAGCATGGTCCTTTCAGTGATGGAAGCAGTCCAATATAATCCACCTGTCACCAGGTTGTGGGATGATCACACTGAAGAATGATACAATATCTGGTGATCAAATCCCTTTTCCCAAGATAGTTACTCTAGTAAAAGGCCTCAGGTCTGTGTGGGGAAAGATGGGAGAGAGATCGGCCATATAATTTGTGGTGTACCACCAGGTTTCTTCCTCAAGGAGACCCAGCCTCCCCCTCATTCATAGGGTTCTGGGTCTGTAAATTGGCTCAAATCTGGAAATTGGTTGGGAGGCCATGGTTTCCTGTTACTGTGATTGGAAGTAGGTTTCTGTTCATTTGTTCTTAAATTTTTTACCTATATAAATCTAGTAACAATTTTATAGGCACCTTGTCTGTTTCACTTTTGGGAATGCTGTGGCTGATCAACCAATGTCATCGATCTGCATGTGCCAAACCATTCTCATCTTTGAGCTGCTTTTACTGTATGCACCTTACTTTTAGAGATTAGGAGCGGCTATGTGACCTTGGCCACTTTAGGATCCAATCAAATCTACTGCCCTTAAAATTCCCAAGTTTTAGCAGACAGAGAATAACGACAGGGTTCGTCATGGACACTGGTGCTCCTCTCAAAAATCTGTTTCTCAAGGTGTTAGTGAAGAGTACACTTTTTTGGGTCATCTCAGTTTGACACATTAGGTTTGATATCACAAATCCACTCCAGCATTCCCATTTCCCTAAACTTCTGAATTTTTTTAATCAGTAGTAAACCATGAACCAGCTGTGGTGGTGCATGCCTGTAATCTTAACACTTGGGAGGCTGAGGCAGGCGGATCACAGAGAGTTCAAGGCCAATCTGGGCTATATAAGTAAGTTCAAGACCAATCTAGACTACATAGTGCAACCCTGTCTCAAAAACAAAAACAAAAAACAAAAAAATCACCCCCACAAACAAAATAGTAAATCACAAAATATCAGGCATCTATAACTCAATCACAGTGGGTCATGTTTTGATCTATACTTTGCCAACCAAATAAATCAACTGTTAATATCTTTCTTTATTCCACAATCTGCAACATCAAATTCAGAATCCATATTCAGTGGGCCCGTATCAACCAACTCAACCTGACCCAGATGTATGTTTTTGGTACAATGATCCCACACCCATGATATCCATCACCATTTTTTCTCATCAGAGCTTTGCTTGTAAGGACTCAAAAACTTGAAAACTTCTTTGGCAGAATAGCAGACCAACTCATGGGTCACACCATGTACCTCATCTTTAGGAGTCTTCTAGGATTTGAGCCTGGTTATTGGTTAGGGGTAAAAATGAGCAGGGGAGGCTGTTTGGGGGGTGGCAATCTTGAGTAATGTCAGCATTTTCATTGTTAGTCAACACTGAATTAGTTTCCTCACCAAGGAGCCAACACCAAGGGCATGGGAGTAGTGATGCCTCCAGCATGATGTGTGGGGAAACCTCCTTCTCTGGCAAAATAGTCTCATTAGTCTAAGAGCCCAACATCCTTAGTCTCCTTGGGATCCACCCAGATACCTCCATTCCAGCTTACTGGATTCTATTCTTTTCTGATTAATCCCCTCACTTTTACTTTAGTATCTTCAGAGGTAGAGCTCAGCTAATTAAATAGCAAGGACTTGTGTTTGGGATTCTGTGCTTGCTGCTCTGTGGCTAAAAGAAAGATTTTTTTTCAGGACATACATGCAAACTTAATTTTTCATGTGCATCAGGAGCTGGGAATTTGCATTTTTGAGTTCCTTATTTTCCTTTATTAATTTATCCCCACAGTAAGAAGAATTTAGATTTCCTATGGATGTTTTGAGCTCATTATTTTCCTTCACTAATTTATACAGAGATGATAAAACCAACCAGGCAGCATCATTAATTTCCCACTCTGCAATAAATATTCAAAATATTCATAATAGAGTTTCTAAATTCCTTACATCTCACAGTGGTGAATTATGATGATCAAATGGATCTAATCATGTATCATTTTAGACAGTTCACACCAAGGGTTATCAGTATTCCCCACAGTATTAGAAAGAGGGACCATGATATTTTTAGATCTCATCAAATTAGAAAATCAGCTTCAATACCTAAAATCATGAAAATTCTCATCTTTACAATCCGGTTTCTCTAGAGATACTCCTGGTATCAAATTTGTGTTGGTCAGTGCTCACTAGAGGCATATATAGAAGTGTGCAAAAAGTCTGTCTTCACACTAGAAAGCTGGGGTATCCAATTGAAGGCCTGGAATCCACGGAAATGTCCCACACAAATCCTGGAGACCAAAGGGTTTGCATGGAAGACCAAAGGATTTGTGCTGGAAAGGCCCAAGGGCCAGTGCTGGAAGCTTTAGTGTCTGCCCAAAGGCTGAAGGATCCGTGCCAGAAGGCTGAGGACCCGCACTAGATGCCAGGAGACATCCAAATGAGGTTAAGACTGAAGCTCCCCCAGAAGAAAGCAGCCAAAGCTCTTTCAAGGAAAAACTGCTGAATGCCTCTGAAGAAAAGCAGGTGCAGTGAATCTCCTCCACGGAAGAGCAGCTGATATCCTTCCTCTTTTATTCTGATAATAGCACTGTTCTGACAATAATCTTCTTTAAAGTGAGTCACCCATGCCCAGAACCAGGCTGACTCAATTTAGCTGGGCGTTCCCCCTCAAATGGACAATTCATCAATGGTCCACATTGACTGAGGAGGTGGTAGGTAGCTGCTGTCAGTGCCAAGTAGCTCCCTAGTGCTGGGTCTCTATTGGCAGCCAGGAATGGGTCCCTGCCTAATACAAGGGGGAAAAGGTCTCAAAAGGCAAAATTTTCTGCATGGAATGCCACGCTAACATTTATCATGAGCTAACCTTTTAAAAAAGAAATACACTGTACAATTCACACTGAACTTACTTTGTGAACCTGATGAAGATCCTTACACCTCTAGGCCTTGTATTTTCTTCCCTGCAGGAAATCCTTCTGAATCTCTCCTTGGAGTTATGAAGCACAGTTAAAGCATTTTCCTTGGGACTCAAGAGAGCCTCCCACACACTTATGTGCCACCCTCATGTGTCCAGTGACCTGTGCGCTATGCCTCCCCAGTTCCATAAGAAACATTCTGTGGGAGGGGTCAGATTTGAATTTCTCAAAAGCAAAGTACCAGTCTGGTACTTGGCACATAGTGGGGTGCATGTTTGCTGGATTTTATTAATTAATGTGCACATATATTCGTCATGGGCAGAACTGAAATACTCTTAGTTTGCTCCTGTGAAAATGCTTCTAACCTTCTGAAAGGGGTCATTTTCAGAGCAGCCACACTGGTCCCATTTACCCATCCCAGCCTCCCTCCTACCTCCTACTCTCTAGCAGCCAACAACACAGGCCTCTGGTGGCTCTTTAGGACAATGACAACACGAAGACATAGGGTTGGGAGCAGGCTCTTTATTTGATGGTTATTACCTTATTTCAGGGGCAGAGCAATGCAGCAGGCAGCACCACAGACTCTGTTCAAACCCGGAAATGTTGACCACCTCTCCCTACTGATCATGGTGGTTATGTTTCTTTACAGAAGCCCCTGAGGCTTGGACCACTGAACTCCAAGGTTAGAAGTGGAACTGGAAGGCCTCAGACACCTGCTTCTTCCACACTTCTAAGCTGGGCAGAAGAGAGGAGATGCCCATGACATGCCAGGTCTCCCCATTTGACACCACTGACATCTGGTAGGACAGCAGCTGCACGCCTGCTTCTGCCAGGAGACCTGGAATTAGAAGAAATCCCCGGGTTGCATAGGGCACAGGACATGGGTCATGGGAGAAGGGGTGAGGGGCTGTGAGTAGTCGGTTAGGCTGCCATGATCAGAATTGCATTGGGGCGATGCTGGCCTTAACAGCAAGAACTGGGATGGAAAGAAAAACAAGGCATCTGTTCAGTTTCCCTCAAGAGACTTTTGGGGTACACTCTGTCAGGCAAATAGCTAGAGCCCTTGACTTGCTGGTCTGGTTTTCTCCAGTCTAAGAGCAAAGCAATAAATAAATAAATAGTAGGGAAAGTTCTTCTGGGAAGCTAGCAACAAGGGTGAAATTGCACCCTTGGGGCTGGGGATACACCCTTTTGCCAAACCCAGTTTTGCTGCAGGCAAGCTGGCCACCAGAGCAGGCAGCAGAAGAGGGAAACCTGCCAGCAGGGCCCCGAGCTCCTGGAATAGAGATGTGTAGGCTGGTATAAACAGTGTGCCTAACATAGCAAACCTAGGGCCTGGGGCCCCTAATATAGGTGCTGTGGTACCACCCCTGTCCCACAGCTCTGTGACCTTAGATAAGGCACTCTCCCTGCTTTGTGTAGATCTAGATGTGCCCTGAGGCACACAGAGGGGCAGCCAGAAAGGACTAAGTCTGTGGAGGCCTAATCCTAGAACATATCCCACCTCTGCCTCAAAGCTCCTGGCCAGCCCCCCAAGACTCTGCTCACCAATTGTGGCAGGCAGCACTGCGGGGCTGGAATGCTGAGTTCGGAAGATGAGCAGGGACAGGCCCCGCCGGAGAGGCACTTCTGGCCTGAAGACTGCTCCATTGAGAGCCTGCAGCATAGGTGTGGCACCCTGGACTGAGCCTACAACCTGGTAGGGGGCACCTGCCAGGGCCACAGTCAGGAAGCATTCCTCATGGTCCTGCTCTCCTGGGGCAGCAGGGCTGTGGGAGGTGGTCACCTGCAGTGAGAAGGCAAGGAGGTAGAGTTATTCCTGGCTGCATCATATCCACTCTGCCTAGTTACATATGGGGCAGAACTCCAGTGGTCAATGAGCTCAGAAACTTAGAGCCAGGGCAAGTGGGCTAAGTCTGTGCCCTGTGTGTTAGCTTCCCAGGATTTCCCTAATAGGAAGACCAAGAAAGATCTGCCAGATACAGGCTTTGCGGGGAGGGGTAGGAATT